CTGGATAGTGCCTGGAAAAGTCCAGCTAAGGTTGTCTCTGGCCTACACACAACACACACACACACACACACACACACACACACACGTGCACCCTTACACACATGCACACCTGCACATACCCTCAGTCGTTCCTAGAGGTCGTTTCTCCTCTGATCTCTCGCGTGTGTGTGTGTGTGTGTGTGTGTGTGTGTGTGTGTGTGTGTGTGTGTGTGGTTTCGCCAGCTTATTACACATGCTAATTTATGCTAAATTATTAAGAACATATCCAGACTTCTTCACACAGTTCTTTACCTCCGTCTTTTGTGAAGTCTCTCTTCAGAGTCGTGAGTCTGTAGGGGAGCCTATTTTGATGGGTTTTTGGAGGTGCCGCCCAGGGCCTTATGTTCATGAGAACCGAAACACAGTTCTCTGTGGGGACATATGGAGTGCCTTTTCTTACCTTTAGAAAGGAGACAAATCCATGAAATTCAGGCTTTGGGGGACCAGTTTCTTCGCTTGATGCTTTGTTAGTTAAAGGCATTTCATGAAACCAAGACAGCATCTGTAATTTGGGGCAGAACGTGATGAGCAGACTGTGGGTCTGGGTTCTGCTGTGGTGCCTATTTTTCTCACTGCCATGAGTGTGTGCTGCTCACCTGGTGGGTTCAGGCCAGGAGTGCGTCTCTAGATAGCTCTCAGCTGTGTGTCATGTGGTCTGGCCTTAGCAATAAACTAATGCAGAGCAACACCTGTTGGTGGAGGCTGTAGACTAATAGGCAAGCCCCTCCGCTTTGACCGTTCTTTGGTTCAATCTTTGCTCACTGACCTGATTGCCCCTCAGAATTTTTTAAATTAGTTTTTATTTTATGTACATGAGTGTCTACATGTACATATGTGTACCATATATGTGCCAGGTCCACGGAGGCCAGAAGAGGGTGTTGGATCCCACGGCACTGGTGTTGCAGGCAGTTGTGAACCAACAGTTCTGGTGCTCAGCAGCAAGTGTTCTTAACTGATGAGCCGGCTCTTCAGCCCCCAGGACTGTTTCAGCATCACTTTCTGCAGACACTGGGTTCAGGGACCTCTACCCATGGATGCAGGAATGGAGGGATGGTGGGAAGGACTCGGGCCTTGGGGACCAAGATTTCTAGGCTCACATTCCCCTCTGCATCCTCATCTTTAAAGATGGGATGAAAATGTCAGCTGCATTGGGTGAAGGCTGAAGGCTGGACACTTCTAGACTATTCTGAACTCTGTCTCATGGATCTCTTTCAGAGATCCAAATTGTTCTTTCCTCTTTCTCTATGAAATGATGTTACCAAGGTCATTGTTTTCAAGGATTGTTGATACTGGTGCTAAGAATGAAACTATGTTTCTCTTCAGGATGCAGTGGGCTGTTTGTGTGTGTGTGTGTGTGTGCGCGCGCGCGCGCGTGCATGCGTGTGTGTATCTGCATCGCTGTGTCTTTCTCTTTGTTTCTGTGTGTATATCTACATCCCTCTCTGTCTATCTCTGCCTTTTTGTTTGTCTCTGTCTGTCTCTACGTGTGTCTGCATCTCTGTCTGTTTGCCCCCGTGTGTGTGTGTGTGTGTGTGTGTGCGTGTGTGTATCTGCATTGCTCTGTATCTTTCTCTCTGTCTCTGTCTCTCTGTGTGTATACACATCTCTCTGTCTCTATCTCTACCTTTCTCTTTGTCTCTGCTCTGTTCATGTGTATGCATCTTTCTCTCTCTCTCTCTCTCTCTCTCTCTCTCTCTGTCTCTCTCGTGCATGTTCAGGTCTTGTCTACCCTGACTTTTTTTTAAAGCAGAGAAGCTTCTTGGCCTGGGGCTTTCCTGTTTCTGGCCAGTGAGTCCCAAGGATCTGACTGTCTCCACCTCCCCAGTAAGGGCTACAGACACATCTCCATACCTGACCTTTTTAAAGTGAGTTCTTAGTTGGGTTTTTACAGTTGTAGGACAAGTATTCATCACCTGATCTATCTCCTGAGGTCCCACTATAGTCAGCCTCATCCTCTCTGTCAGCTGTTGTGAGTCAGGACAGGATTTCCATTCCAGCTGTGTAAGGAGTAAGGTTTTTCCTCCCACTGCCGGTCTTGTCCCGCCGCCGTGCCAACCCCAATTAACACACTGAGACTCTGTATTTGATATAATTCTGTTGGCCCGTTACTAGTTTCTTATCGGCTAGATCTGTCTTAATTGTTAACCCATTTCTGTTGATCTATGTATTTTCACATGGTCTCCTTACGGGGAGTGGGGCAGGCATCTGGTCTCCTCAGTCTCTCCATTTTGACTCCTCCTTACTCCTTCCTCTTTCCTCCTTGTCTTTTAGTCTATCTTGCCTTTCTATTGGTCAACAGTGCTTTATTCATTAACCCGTATGAGAAACATATTTACAGAATGGCATCTCCCATCATTTTCTCTTTTTTGTCTAAATAAAAAGAAGGGTTTTAACCTTAACATAGCAAAATATATAACATAACAGTTATCAAATAAGAATCACAGTTAACAATATTTAGTCCATTAACATTTAGCAAGATTAAAAACTATTCTATCATCTATCCTATATTTGTGAGTTTAAAGTCCTATATGTAACTTATTTTTAAGCTTAACTAAGGAAAACTATAACCATAACTATCTGTCTTCAACTCCATCAAAGACCACAGAAGGATAGTATATAAACTCTAGACATGACAGAGACATCTTGCCTTGCCAGTCATTTGAAGTTCTTTTGTAATTTTTTATCTTTAGCCCATAGGCCATAGTGTGTCTGGCAGATTCTTCAGCAAAGCAGGAAACTTTAAACTGTCTTCTTGTATTGGCAGTTTGTCAGTCACTTTTCTCTGTGTCCTGCAGACTGTCTGGCAGACTCTTCCATGAAGCAGGAACTCTGTAGCAATGTCCATTTTGAATTAGCAGTCACTTTTCTGTGGGTCCTGCATGCCCAGTTTATACAGCATAAAGTCAAACAGTCCAGACAAGAGCACTTATCTTGTCCAAAAGGCTAGTCTTGCCATATTGGAAGTAAACTCCATAACTCCTTTCTTCAAGGTGCATCTTCCTTTCTGACGCAGGTGGTGTTGCCAGGAGCAATTGTGCCTCATTGTCAAGAAAAACTGTAAAACATTTTAAATGCCATATTCTGTAGGTCTTTGAAAGGTTTGAAGAATGCCTAACCATCTCAAATACATCTTGAATACCTAAGTAACTTAACTCTAAGTTTTGATTATCATAGGTAACTATCTATAATCTGTATTAATTTATACATTGCATTTCTAAATGGGCTTTATAAACACAATACTTAAACAAAAGGGGAAATATACATATCACAAAATTGACCTTAAATTGTATCAATAAATGAAAATCCATTCCAAAACAAAGTAATCATATCTATACCATAAGTAGGTAAGACCTACTGGCTTAGCTGCTTTGCTTTTCTAACCTTTGGCTTGAAGCTTGAACTCCAGCATCTGTCTCTGGGTCTATTATTTATCATGCTATAGAGGTAGAATCCATTCCAAGAAGCACTTTTTCCAAAATCAAGCCTCAGGGCTGGATGGGGGATTGCTCATGGTTAAAATGCTTGCCACACTATTAGCAAATGTGAAAACTGGGGTTTGAATTCTCCAGAGCCCGTGTAAACACCAGTGGACAAGGGATTCCCAGAACAAGCAGATTAGAGAAACTAGTAGTGTCAGGAAGCTCAGGGTTCAACTGGGAAACCCCGCCTCAGCGAATATGGTGAAGAGCAAATAGTCAAGAAAGATTCCCTGTGTCAGCCTTGGGCCTCTGCACACCTGCATGCACACATACATACACACGCGTGCACGCACGCACACACACACACACACACACACACACAGAGACATATACATATACATACATGTGAAAGTAAATGAAAAAAAACTGCCTAAAAAGTAGTCGGCTTTCTCTTCAGGCCCAGTGATCTGTCACAGAACCAGCCCTAGCTGCAAGGGAAGCTGGGAAATGATGCTTCCTATTTGCCCTGAGAGAGAAGAACAAGAGAGGCTGGAGGTCGGTGTGTGAGCTAGCGCACAGCACCTGCCAAGCTCAGAAGAGCTCTGTCAGTACTTTCCTTGTATAGATGACTACAGTAAGTTCTAGAACTGAGGAGCAGACTGGCCAAGGTTCCATAATAAGCAAAGCTAGAGTCTCACCAGGTCTCCTAACTCCTCATACAGAAAGCCCCCCTCAGGACCACACTGTAGATGCTATTTCCCATGGCTGTGACTAAGACATCATCTAGGAAACAGAGTAACATATAATAGAGACAAAACACAGGCAGCTTTCCTTTGAGCTCTGCACCCTCCATCCATCCCTGTGACCCTAGAGTCATTCACTGTGAGTCACCAAATCAAAGCCAAGTCACACCAGGTCCTCTAGGCTCCCCGGTGCTCTGTTAAGTTCTTCTATTCCTTAGATTTGTCCTATTTAGCGTGTGTGAATGTTTTGCCTGTGCTTAGAGAAGTCAGAAAAGGGCATTGGATCTCCTGGAACTTTAAAGATGGTTGTGAGCCAGCCAGCATGTGGTGCTGGACATTGAAGCCCCAACCAATCCTCTCCAAGAGCAGCCAGTGCCCTTGGCCACTGAGTCATGTCTTCAGATTTCTTTCAGCAGGGGTGTGTGTATGTGTGTGGGTGGTGTGTTGTGTGTTGTGTATGTCTGTGTGCAGTGTGTTTGTATGCAGTGTGTGTGTGTGTGTGAGTGTGTGTGGTGTGTTGTGTGTTGTGTGTGTCTGTGTGCAGTGTGTTTGTATGCAGTGTGTGTGTGTGTGTGAGTGTGTGTGGTGTGGTGTATGTGTGGTGTGGTATGTGTGTGTGTGGTGTGTGTGTGTGTATGTGTGGTGTGTGTGTGCGTGTGCATGTGTATGCATTCTTGAGAGTGTATTGTGTTATTACACACCTGACCTCATGACGGGTGCCAGGACCCTGTAGGATTTCTGTGTCTTTGTTAATGTGCTGTTCTTGTCCTCTGTCCCCTTCTGTTATTGGACCAAACAGAAGTGTTCTGCTGTTTCTCTCTGCAACATCTCCACAGAAGTCCTGAAGGTCATCAACGCCACCGAGGAGCTGATTGCGGAGTCTTCAGGGCCCTGGGCGATCCCCCCAGTCCCATCTGACAGAGACATGGGGACATTTCCTCTTGGGACAGACCCAGTGAGACTGGACAAGCAGCTGACATCCTTGGAAGAAAATGTAAGGGTGTGCGAATGTGCCTAGTGAGGGTGAACATACGAGAAGGAGAGGGAATAGGAGCTGCTCCCAAGTCATGCAAGGACACGTACCACCACCACCACCATGGTGGCTAGTGTGTCCCTGGGAAAACGAGGCGGGGCTACCCGGAAGCAAGGGTGCAATCAGGAATCAACTAGTGAGGAGAGAAAGGGAGCTGGGCGGCAAAGCTGAAGAGGAAACCGTCTGTTTTGTGTTTGGTGTCAGTCACTTTAGTTGTGAAATGGCATCTGCAGTGTGGTCCCAGGGTGGTTTTCTGTATGAGGAGCTAGGAGACCTTGGCCAGGTCACTTCCTTTCCTCAGGGAAGATGGCGCAGAGATCGTGTAGGGAAGGGAAGAGACAAGAAGCCACATGTGACTTTGACCTCAGCAGCTTCGGCCTGATGCTGCAGGGAGCTCCCAGGCGGAGGCTGCATCTCTGACCTGGACTTGTCTACAGCCAGCAGATGCTTCTGTCCTTGAGCATGCAGGTTGAATGCCTTCAAAGGGGTCCTCTGGGGGGGGCGTCCAGATGTAGGTAGGCAGTGCCTGGTGAGGCTTTGGGAATAGGGATGGCGCTAAAGGAAACAGTCAGAGGCCAGGGAGCTGTCTCAGTGGCTAAAGTGCTTGTTACACAAATGCAAGGGGCTTAGACCCACAGTAATGTCAGGTAGATGCAGTGGCATACATGTATGTAACTCCAGCCTGTAATTCAGAAGGCGGAGATGGGTTTCCCAGAGGATGCTGGCCAGAAAGACTAACTATCTTGACAAGTTCTGGGTGTGGTTGAGAGATCCGGCCTCAGCGAATCAGGTGGAAGGGTTATGATTGCTGACATCAACCTTGGGCCTCCACACACATGTGTACTCACACACATGTGCAAACATGTGTACGCGTGCGCACACACATGCACAGAGAGAGAGACTATTCAGTGGTGCATGTGAAAGGCTTTCTTCAGGATGCTGTGATCAGAAGGCATCACCTTGGCAGTGGGGTCGTGTACTGGAGAAGAGACTGAGTGCCCGATGTGGCATGGGTGAGTGGGAACCAATAGCGGAGGAGCAGACAGCGGTGTGTAGTTGGAATGTTTTCCTTTGGGCCACCAACCATCTCCCAAATAAAGACTGAGACTTATTCTTAATTATGAATGCCCAGCTTTAACTTAGACTTGTCCCACTAATTCTTTTTGGGGGAGGGGTTGGTTTTTCGAGACAGGGTTTCTCTGTAGCTTTGGAACCTGTCCTGGAACTCACTCTGTAGACCAGGCTGGCCTGTCTCTGTAGATCTTCCTGCCTCTGCCTCCCGAGTGCTGGGATTAAAGGCGTGAGCCACCACTGCCCAGTGTAACACATCTTTACATAGTTAAACAAATATTCTACAATATAAACAAATCCAACACATCTTTGCATAGTTAAACAAATGATCCACAACAGGGGTGAGGAGATAGGAAATGCCCAAATAAGCCTTAAGGGGTGATCAAACAAACCTAACCGTATTCCTGCCGAAGACAGGCCAGGGTGGTACAGAAATCATCTGGGGACAAGTGGGAGATAAGGAACCTAATAAGATATGGGTGATCTGCTGTCAGGGATAGGGTCTGATACGCAGAGTTCACATAGGAAAGCCAGGTGTGGTGGCATGTTGTAACCTAACCCTAGTGCTGGGGAGGCAGAGACAGACAGATGCCTGGGGCTTGCTAGAAAGTCAGAGAACCTATCTCAAAATGCAAGGTGGATGGTATGTGAGGAGAGACATCCCAGACTGACATCTTGCATGTGTATGTACACACACGCACACGTGCATGCATGAATGCACGCACACACACACACACACACACACACACACACAGAGCAGTCCGTTTCCTCTCATTGTATTAAGAACAAGGAAAACACATCTTCCTTTTAGCTAAAACCATACTGAAAACTCCATGCCCTGGGTGCATGTCCATGATGTAGGAATGATTATGTTGTTATTTTGTTGGGGGGGGGGTCATTGGTATTTTCAATTCAAAACAGGACCACTCATCCACTGATGCAGGACGTCAGAAGCCCCAGTGTGGAGAGAGATGATGTGGCTTCCAGGCTGTCTTCAGCCAACTGGAGCCCTGCTCTAGCCCTGTCCTTTCCCCCACACACACACCACCCTTCTTCCAGCTTTGCACCCCTCACCTCGGAGCAGAGGGAAGATCTTCCCCTCATCTCTCTGAGCCAGATTGGGGGGGGGGACTCTCCCTGCAGTCCCCAGGGTGGGGTTCAGCAGAGCAGCAGGAGAAGGCAGGGCTGGCTCTGGCCCCTGGCTGCAGCTGGTTTAATTAAATCATGACTTGTGTTGGTCTGCACTACAGAAGGTGCACTTCATCCCTCACTCCCACTCTTTGCCACTGTGCCCCGGACGCTCAGATAAAAGAGAGCATTCTATTCTTAATGCTCACCCTTGAAAACGCTTCTAAGGCTGTGGAGGGTATACGGGATAGAATGCAGAAACGCCGCGCTTAGTGTCTAGTCGCCTGCTTTCCTTGATGGGTTGTTAACTTGTCTGACGAGAGGAGAGTCAGGGGTATGCAGAGTCCAGGCTCTCCGTTGCATTAGCTCTGTGGGCTCTGCTCTGGTCTCCCCTAAAGTCTACACTGCTCTGGGGCTCCCCTCACCCTCCTCAGCTGCAACTTGTACTGGCCTACCTATGATTCCAACACACTCAAATGCACGCATGCACACACACATACTCCTAGGCACGTGTGCACACACACATACACATGTGTGCACACACGTGTGCACACACACACACATGTGTCTATCCCAATTTTCTTTTAGTTTCACGTCTTGTTCTCCACGTACTTTACAACCAGCGGCAGCAGGCACAACAGGGTTGCCCAGCTCTGCCACTGAACCCAGGACGGAGCAGAGGGCATTGGTCCCTCTCAAAATTCTCTTGCTGCCCCACAGCTCTAGAGAGGAGGTGACCCTAAAAATCACGGCAGTGGCTGTGGTTACTTAGGTAACCATCCGCCCTTTGTGAGCAAGGAAAAATATACACTATTATCTACTGGTCCTCTAAGGTCTATTTCCTGGAAGCTGAATCCAACAAGATGTTATGGGGAAACCAATAAGTTTGGGCAGTTTGTTCTTTCTGTGAAAAGTGAGATTCATGCGTAAGAGACTCCTAGAGGTTAGGCTGGGGAGATGGTGGGGCTGGGTGACAGCTCAGTGTGGTAACTGTTAATCCCATGGAATGAGAGTGAAGACCACCACCCAAGTTAGCTAAACATATACCATAAATATATATGTGTGTGTGTGTGTGTGTGTGTGTGTGTGTGTGTGTGTACAATAAAACCGGTCTGATGACTGCCCCCTCCCAAATCCAGGACTTAGAGGTCAGCCCCGAACATAAGATAAGTGGGGTTTTTACAGCCCCAAAACTGCAAAGCTACTGGGTTCCCGAGTGTTGGGGGATTTTCAGAGGAGTTTTGGTTATGTAGGAACTCGGCAGAATATCTTATCTTAATGGGGTGGAGGTCGGGACATAGTCAATGAGGAGTCAGATTGTAAAGCATGTCTAATTCCAGAAAATGGGTCAAGACACAGAAACCAGGACAAGATGGCTTCTAATCTTAACATGGAGTAGGACCGGCACATCATAAGTGCTTGCCTTACAAAGGTCAGGACCTGAGTTCAATCCCCAGTACTGGGCAGGCAGAAACAGATATGTCTGGGTTTCTCTGGCTGGACAGCCTATCCAATGACTGTCACTGTCTCAAAAAAACAAGATGGAAAGAGACGGAGGAATGACAGCAAGATTGACCTCTGACCTGCACATGAATACGCGAGAAACACACATACACACACACATACACACAAAGATACACATGCACACACACACACACACACACACGAACACACAGAGACATGCACACACACACATACATGCGCATGCACACTCTCTCTCTCTCTCTCTCTCACACACACACACACACACACCATGCATGCATGCATACCCCAGAACCTTTCGGTAAAGAAGTCTGTGTAGTGTTCTCTCCTGGGAATTTGACCACGGAGCCCGCCTTTAATGAACACCTGTCCCCATCTCTTGAGCCATTCTCAGACTCACTGAATAGCAGCCTGTTGGGGAGAGGAGTGTCACAGGCATCAGTGATCAGTTTGAAGAGGACACAGATGACTCAAAGTAACTTTTCTCTCCCAACATGGACCTCCCTAAGCAAGCAGCTGAGTTCCGAGTTACTTTCCAGAGGGTTGCTTTCTAGTGAAGTAGAGAAACATTTATGTATGGAGTGGCAGGCTGACTTCTGTTACAGCAAGCCTGGACTAGAGCCACTAGCCAACCCTTGTATGTCCCCAGGACGTCTGGATCCCAGTGCTGAAGTGTGGAACTTGGTACTATTCCAACATGGATTAAGACTCAGCCCCACAGAGTAGATGGTAAAGGACCAGCACCAGCCCTCCCCAGCTCATGTCCAGGCTCCCCCCATCCCAGCTGTGAGACCAGAGATCTTTATCATAGTGCTTATAACTGCAACTGTCTTTAGTCACCCGAACATTCAGAGAGTTAGGTCATGGTCCAGCTCAGTGGGTGAGGAGGCCTGCCACCAAGCCTGAGCATATGAGTTCAAACCCTAGGACTCACATGGTGGAAGAAGGGAACTGACTCCACAGGCTGTCCTCTGAGCTACACACACACACACACACACACACACACACACACACACACACCCTGTGGCACGTGCATGTGCATGCACCCAAACAGACAAAACATAAGTCATATGAATGTCTTGCCTTATTTCTGGCTCAGTAAGTATGGCAGCACGACCATGACCCTCCTCCAGCCCTTCAAGCCCCATCACTTTGGTAGTAAGTGCTGGTTCAGCTGTGTTCAGAGGCAAACCTCAGTGTCGCCTTCCCTGAGTGCCAAGAAAGCAGACCTTCAGAAAACATGAAGTAAAAACATGACTACTCCAACCAGACTGGGGGCTTAGATCTGTTTCCTATTACTCTGTCTTGGCTGTGATTAAAAAATAATAATAATTTTTTAAAAAACACACCATTAGCAGACAGTGGGGTTAAAAATACACATCACAGCCTGGGATAGATCCAGCCCTGGGGTAAAGATGTGCGTTCCTCGTGTTCCTGGGAAAATGAGTGATCCTGGGCACGTCATCACTGTCACCACCACTTTTAATTTCACCCAGCAATGTTTGTCTGTTGCTGTGCTTAGCCGGGTTATTCCAGGTAAAGAATTCGAGACCGATCCTGCTGTGAGTTTATTTCCGCTTGATATTCCCTGTTAAAAGTCCCTGACCAGACTCGCCGTTCACATTGCCGGCGTCGAGCTTGCTGTCCCTCTTTTCTAAATGGATTTTGCTTGTGCTTGTAAGAGGGGAGAGATGTCAGAAGCTTCCTGCCCTCGCCTAAGTGTGAAGAGTGCTGATAAGCGGGGTGGGCCCCCCCCCCTCTCCCAGCATTGCGCCCCTCCCCCGCCCCTTGTTGACTGGTGCCCCCTCGAAGAGGCTGGCCAGTCCCAGTCCCAGAACTGTGCCGTCTCTGCAGGTGTACCTGGCAGCGGGCACCGTGTACGGGCTGGAGGGACAGCTGAGCGCGCTGGAAGACGCTGCCCGCTGCATCCACGGCAGCACAGGCGAGACGGAGCTGGCAGATCTGGAGGACCAGGTGGCTGCAGCTGCAGCACAGGTACACCACGCTGAGCAGCAGGTGAGCCCCTGCTCTGTTCAGGCGAAACAGGAAGCCCCCACTGCGTGGGCACATCTCACCCGCTCCAGCGGGCTAGCATAGAGGTGGCCGCCTATAGCAAAGGGCTCCGGCAAACCGTCTCTGTCTTTTATTTTATTTTATGTGTATTTTTTTCCTTCGTGTATGTGTGTGCACCCTGTTGTGCTTGGTTGGGAGAAGTTATTGGATCCGTTGGAACTGAAATTTTGGGTGGCTGTGAACCACCACGTGGGTGCTGGGAGTCGAAGCCCGGGTCCTCGGCAGAAGCAACAAGTGCTCTTAACCCGCGATTCATCTCTGAAGCCCCTCAAACCTTTCCTAAAATAAAAAGGTTGCTCCTCCCTCCAATAGCAGAACCTCAGTCTGGATTATGTATCTTGGATTTCCTTTAAGACCTACGCTGATGGCTGAGGAGATGGTTCAGCCAGAAGGTGCTTGCCACTAAAACCTGAGGGCCCAAGTTCGGATCCCAGCCCCCGTTATGGAAAGCCAGGCAGAGTGACAAGTGCTTGTAATCTCAGTACTGAGGAGGAGGCAGAGGTGTGAGCATCCCTGAGGTTCACTGAACAGCAAATCTAGTCATGAGCCTTGGGTTCAGTGAGAGATATTCTCTGAAAATATAAGGTGGAGAGCAATTGAGGAAGGTGGCTGATGTCAGCGCCTGGCATCGCAATACATGTGCATACGTGTATATGCCCCCCACACACGCACGCACGCGCACGCACATACACAATGCACACACGTACACACACGCATGCACACTATGCTGATCTCCTCCCATTTCATCCCATACCCCTCTCACATACTATGGGCTGCTTCCTGCCGTTTCCCCGCCATGGACTTAAAGCTACACGAGAGCCAGGCCACAGCTGTCTGGCCTAAAGGAGTAACTCCTGACGCTTAACAGAAATGAGCAGGAGCTGGAGAGAAGGCTGGGCAACGAAGCACACACCGCTTTTGCAGAGCACCTGGCTCCGTTCCCAGCTCCCACATCAGGTGCTCACAGCTGCCTAGAGCTCCAGCTCCCCGGGAGTCAGCACGCTCCTCTGGCCTCCACGGGCTTCTGCACACACGTGTGCAAACCCGCATGAAGTGCAATGTATACGAGAACAGAAAATCTTTCCAAGGGGGTAAATAAAGGGGTGAACAGATGGTGTGCACTTCTCAGGCCGGGGTGATGAGTGGAGCGGCCATACAGCTGTCTCCACCGAGCGGTTTCATCGAGTACGTTTTGAAAATGCTTTGTGGCTTTGCGAGTGTGCCCTTGTCCCTCGTGGGTCAGCGCTGGTCATGGGATAAACCGCTGACCCTAACTGGGATCTGCGGGCATTCTCTTGGGAGCCTGTACGATAGGTCTACCATCCATAGACTACTATAGACCCAAGATACATTTACTACCCATAGACAACTATAGACCCATGATAGGTCTACTACCCATAGACTACTTTAGACACTCTATAGGTCTACTACCCGTAGACAACTATAGACCCATGATAGGTCTACCACCCATGGACTACTTAGACCCATGATAGGTCTACCACCCACTGACTACTATAGGCCCACTAGGAGACATGGTAGTGTTGTCTCTAATGCCAACACTGAGGAGGATTAAGATTGGAGTTCAAATCATCCTTGGGTACAGAGAAAATTCAGGGCTAGCTTGGGCTACATGAGATGCTGGCTCAAGATTCATAAGTACAGAAAAATGTGGGAGGTCCATGTTTCTCTAGATCATGATGGGGGGGTGGAAGTGGGGGGGCAGCAGCATGGCTCAGCAGAGAAGGGCAGTAACCACACAGGCCTGGAACCTGAGTGCTCGCCCACAGGAACTCTGTGAAAACAAAGAAGGAAAGAACCGGAGAAGCAATTCCACAGAGTTGTTCTCTGGCTTACACATGTGCAATGGTATGTGTGTCCCAGATGCTCTTTATAAATACATAGTTTTTTTTTTTTTTTAAGAGAGAGACTGCAGGTGTTCAATACAGAACCCTGATATTGTTACTGCCTTTACTTTTTTGTTTGTTTGTTTTGTTTTACTTTGTTTTATTAGCTGCCCTCAAACTCACCCTGTAGACCAGGCAGGTCTTGAACTCAGAGATCTGCCTGCCTCTGCCTCCTGAGTGCTGGGATTAAAGGTGTGTACCACCAACGCCTGGTTTTGTCTTTATACTGTACGTAACCGGGCATCCTGGCCAGGTCTGAGGAGATGGCATGGTACAATTGATAAAATACTTGCCTTGCAAACATGAGGTCCTGGTTCCCATCCCCAGATCCCACATTTTAAAAATATGAAGGAAAAGGTCTGGCATGGTGGAATGTTCTTGTAATTTCCACTGTGGAGGAGTTAGGGACATACAGATCCCTGGGGCTTGCTGGCCAGCCAACCTAACTAAACTGTCTAGTCCCAAGCCATTGAGAGATGCTGTCTCATAAGACAATCGAGCCAGAGATGGCTCGTGTACTATTCCTGCCCCCTCTTCCTGCCCCCTCTTCTGCAGTGTCCCCTGAGCGAGGGTGTGGGCGGTGTGATAGAGACAGACCTCTCGTTTAGGGCGGAGCACTGCGCAGTCATCTGATCTGCACCCAGCCACTGACCCCTGCAAACAGAAGCCTCTTTGATGGGAGATGGAAGCTGTGTCAGACTGCGGGTGTACAGAGGAGTGTGTAGAAGGCAGCTTGCAGCTGCGTCCTTCTTTCCTGGGTCCTATGACCTCCCCAGCGACGGGCATTTGGCCAGGGTTACAGAACGAGGCACGAGTTCCACCTTGTGGAGCAAGCCTTAATTCCAATCAGAAAGTAGTTAGCTGCTCCCGCACCAATGTAGGTCTCCCCTTTTGAAGATTTTAATTACGTCAGCAACGCCTCCCTGAGGACCAAGGTTCCAGTACCTCTACAGACCAGACTCAACCCTTACCCTAACCTTAGCAGAAGACATCCTGGTCACTCAGACCAGGCATTCCCACAGTGCTCCAGCCCTTCAGTTTGCCCCTGCACATACTCTAGAACTGTAAAACTAGAGACAAATGTATGTGTCTCTTGTGTTTCGTCCTTTCCTTACAACACTAGATGGACCAATGATTGGTAGAAGGTGAATGAATGAATGAATGAAAGGCCAGGTGTTTCGGCACATGCCTGTGATCCCAGCACTTAGAAAGGAGGTGGAGGCAGCAGAATCAGGAGTCCACATCATCCTCGGCGACATAGCAAGTTCCAGGCCAGCCTGGGATGCATGACACTTTGTCCCAAAAAGAAAAGCAGAATCGAATGTACAAATGAACGTATGTCAAAACAGGCTTGTTCTTTGTGAGTTAATAACGTCTAACCAAGAATCTTCTTCCTTTGGGGTGCATGAAGATTTCTGACATCGAGAGCCGGATTTCAGCCCTGACCATCGCTGGCTTGAACATAGCGCCCTGTGTGCGTCTCACAAGGCGACGGGATCAGAAGCGAAGGAACCAGGTGCGTCTGTCCTTCCCTCCCCATTAAAGACTGCATGATCTGGAAAGTTCCAAGTGCAGCATCTCCAGAGCAACCCTGAAGGCTATGTTTGTTTGTAGGTGCAAACTATAGACACATCGAGGCAGCAGAGGAGGAAACTGCCCGCTCCTCCTGTGAAAGGTACGGTGCTCTTGAAACACCAAGCCTGAGGCATTGGAAGAGCTGAGGGGAGCCCTGAGTGTGAGCAAGTGTGAGGACCAGAGCCGGTGTGGCCCTCCCCAAGCACTGTTCTCCTTACTTTGAGTGTGATAGGTTGTGCATGAAAATGGATGAGTGAGCATAACTGGCTGCGAGAGTGATGGCGTATATGTCAGTGTACCCGTGTAGTGTGCGTGTGTGTGTGTGTGCGTGTGCCTGTGTGTAAGTGTGGGGGTCTGAGAGTATGAGCGTGTGAGCGTGTAGGGGCGAGTGTGTGTTTGTGAGAGTGTGTGTATGAGGGTGATATGTGTGAGTGTATGTGTGCATGTATGAATGTGGAGGTGTGTGGCCGAGTGTGGGTATGTTTGAGAGTGTGAGGGTGTAGGTGAGTGTATGTGTTGGTGTGTCTGCGGGAGAGTATATAAAGAGTGTGAGTGCATGTGTGTGTCTGTATGAGCGTATGAGAATGCGTGTGACTGTGTGTGTGCGATTGTCTTAGGGTATGTGTAAAGGCACGTGTGGGTGTGGGGTGTTCATGTGTGAACATGTCAGTGTGAATGTGTGTGACTTTGTGTGAGTGTATGTATGTATGGAGGTGTGAGTGTGGTCTGCTGGGGGTAGGGGGTGTGCAAGTAAGTCTGAGAGTGTTTGCACGTGTGGGTGTGTATGAGTGTGTGCACTGTGAGTGCATGCACTGTGAGTGCATGTGAATATGTGTGGGGTGAATGAGTGCGGTCGTGTGTGAGGGTGTGTGAGTGTGAGTTTGTGAAACTGCGTGTGCATAACTGTATAGACGAGAGTGTGTTAGTGTTGGCCACGGAGGTGTGGAGGTACCCGTGTGTGTGCGTGTGTGTGTGCGTGTGTGTGTGCGTGTGCGTGTGTGGTATGTGTGTCTGAGTGTGAGGATGGACTTGGTGTGTAACAGTGTGTGCGTAAGTGAGGGCATGGGCATAAGTGTGAATGTGTTGGTGTGTGTGTCGATGTATTCAAGAGCACTGTGTGTGTGTGTGTTAATGTGGGGGTTCTGCCAGTTTGAGTATGAGACCGTGAAAGTGAGTATGTCGGTGTGAACGAATTTCTGAGTGTTTTGAGTGTGAATCTAAGTTTGTGAATGTGACCCTCATGAGTAGGGGACTGAATGTATGTTCAAATTTATGTGTGTCTGTGTGTGAGTGTGTGTACACATGAGTGATTTATGACAGTGTGAGGGTGCGTGTGTATTTTGTGTGGGAGTATATGTGAATTTGAAATGTGTTTTGTGTATGTGTGAGTTTGCATGTAGGTGAGTGTATGAGTGTGTGTGTGTGTGTGTGTGTGTGTGTAGCTAAGGCTGGCGACCAGCAGCCCTCAATGTGCCCGTGCCTCTGCCCCGTACAGCACCAGGGTTACAAACTATTTTACGTGGGCGCTGGGATCCAGACTCGGGCACGGCAGGCTTCCTCCCGACTGAGCCATCCTTGCCTATCTTTACTTGGGGCCCCCAGAAGCAAAGCTGGGGACTTGGATGCATGTGAGGAGACTCCAGCAAGTGCTGAGGGTAGAGAGACAAAGCAGAGAAAAGCCTGAGCGGCAAGCCAGGCCGCTGTAATCAGGGTAACTTCCTGGGGATGCGAAGCCAGCATCTCGGGAACCTGGCCCTTACTATATGTCTCCTTTTTAGCTGAAAAGACTGAAGAATCTTCTGTGACCCCCATTAAAACATTCAACCGCAACTTCCTTCTACAAGGCCCCTCCATGAACAGGCTCTCAGAAAGGCAAGGTGACACCAAGGACTCGACGGTAAATGCTATCTCTGCACCTGTCGGGCCACAGGACCGTCTCTCCTGTGCCCGGCACATCACACACCAGCCCCTACATCCCTTCCTTCCATAGCTGTCCCAGCAGAGCCCCGAGAGGCAACCTTCCTTTCTGGTCTCCTGTCTCTGTTAGATTTAGGGGGAGGTGTCTCTGAAAGGTGAGGGCCACCCCGTGTGGCATTGCTGGCCTCTTTAACTTGAGTCTGTCATCTCTGCTGCGTTTCTATCTAGCTCGTTTTAGGAGCCGGCTACGATATGAGGGAAACGAACGTATGCCAGGTCTGGTGGGTGTGTAAGGGCTCTTACTTCCGTGTGGTCCATACGCATGTGAAAATGTCTGTTAGCCACGAATGCCTTTTCCTAAGTAGAGTCAGCAGCTGACTCCCCAAATGTGACAAAGGACAGGGCATAGGATAATGTCACAGACTCTGGGGGATGGCACAGCAAGGGCCAGTGGGGTATTTGCCACAAAAGCATTTGCAGCTGGGTAGGGCCGCTTATGTCTGTGACCTCATTAATATGGAGGCTAAGGCGGAGGATTGCTGCAAATTTCAAATTTGGGTGCCAGTCCGGGCTTCATGATGAGGTCCAGGTGAGCCACAGTTACATCTCAAGGCACATGGCTCATGGCTCATGGGGCGTCTTAGTTAGGTCTCTGTTGCTGTGATGAAACACCATGACCAAGAGCAGCTTAGGGAAAAGGGGTTTGTGTGGCTCACGTGTCCTGAGTCACGGTCCATTGAGAGTAACGAGAGTGGGAACCCAAGCAGGGCAGGGCGGGAGCCTGGAGGCAGGAGCTGAGGCAGAGGCCATGGAGGGAGCCGCTCACTGGCTTCCTCTGCCTGCTTTCTTAAAGAACCCAGGACCAGCAGCCTGGAATGGCCCCGCCCACAATGGGCTGGACCCTCCCCCATCAACGCTAATTAAGAAAATGCCTTACAGGTCTGCTTTTGTGAGCATCTGAATTTGTGTGTGCCTGTATGATCCTTAAGTTTAAAAAAAAAAAATCAATTCACCAATGAATACAAAAGCAAAATTTGCATTATAATGGCTTATGTATGCAATCCCAACAAGAGGGGGTCTGAAGGAAGAGGATTATAGCAAACCCAACACCAGCCTGGGCTACACAGTGAATACAAGCTCTACGAGACCCTGTCTCAGCACAGTTAACAGCATCAGTTCAGAGAACAGTGCAGTGCGCTGGAAGGGATTATCTGACCCAGGCACGCCCACAGTCCAAGCTTTGCTGACAGCAGACCCTGTGTGGAATGGCCGGAGAGATGCAAGGACTCACCCACCTGCTGCTGCATAATAGGTGCCCTCTGCCTCTCCCTTCCTCGTCGTCTACACCCCCCACCCCACCCCTGTCCAGCCCCCGGTCCACCCTGAGTACAGAAGCTCCTGGTGATAGCATAAAATGAGGTCTAGCCTTTGACCCACACGTTACAGTCTTGATTGCCACAAGGAACCTCAGTCCCTCGTTGCCTTTCCTTCACTGGTCAGCTGTGACCCCTGACCTTTCAAAGTTCAGTCATCTTGCTCCTGGTCATAACAGGTCAATGGTGGCACAGGCCTTTAGTCCCAGCAAGCAGGAGGCAGAGGCAGGTGATCTCTGAGTTCAAAGCCAGCCTGGTCTAGAGTTCCAGGACAGCCAGAGCTACACAGAGAAACCCTGTCTGGAAAAACCAAAGGGGGGGGAGGGGCGGACAGGCAGCAGGAAGAGGGCATTTTCATATTTTCATTTGACTGCAGCAGGCAAACTCGGAGCCTGTCTTGGTGGTGGGAGAGCAGTTTGCTGGGTTTGGTTGTTAAGAGCCCCCCCCCTATTTCCTTCCCAGAAGTAAATGTCAATTCCAGAACTGAGTAATGTGAGCGTTGGTTAAGATGCTTAAATATCCAACTATGCATCACAGGAAATATCTAACTACATAACAGAAAATCCGCTTCCTAAGAATCAGTTTGCAAACAGAAAACCTCAGTAAATCCTGGACGAAGAAAGTGCCCAGTCATTCCCGTGACCATGCTGCCAAACATGATGGGTTTGCCAGGTAGCTGGTGACAGTGTATCCATCTTGCTTCATCCAGGAGCCCGTTCTGGAGTCGGCTGTGATGTACTAACCACGGAACTCCACAGCCAGTGACCCACTGCCTCTGGCCGTACACGACAGTGCCTTGACCCAACAGCCATCGAGTACTGTGTGGATTTCCACTGAGGCAAGGGCCTGGGGAGGCCGCAGTGCACCGCTGCACAGGGCTGTCTTGATACCTCACCCGGAAGGAAGGCCGTCTCAGTATGCAGCTCTGAGGTCCTGCCCATTCTCTGCCTTAGGCTCCCAGGGGAATCTGAGATTGAACACCCAGACGCTGGCTTCTAGAAGTGGGGCTCTGTGTTTAAAAGATGCATTGTGCCTGTTTAATTTGTTCCTGTGCGTTGTCTTCACTATCCCTGTGTGCTTTTAATCTCTTTTTATGCCTGTCATCCGTTCATGCGATGGGAAACTGTTGGAGAGGAGGAGCTTCAGGGAAGGAAGGAAGGAAAGAAGGAAGGAAGGAAGGAAGGGAGGGAGGGAGGGAGGGAAAGGAAGGAAGAAAGGAGGTCATTACCCTTTCTTACTTTTGCTTACCATCTCCTAACAGATGCTAAGAGCAGGGTGCACTAGAAAGAAGTCTCACTGGACAATACTCAGCTACCTCCAGCTGAGTTCCCAGTACCCGCCCAATCTCCATCTCTACCCTTCCTGTTGCTTGGCAATCAACCACAGAATGAAAAGCTCTAATCCACCCATGCCATGCCCAGGTCTCTTTCAAACCATGTCTCATTTCGAATTTCGGGTTCTTGCATGAATTTACTCAGGGGGAGAGGAGCCTAAGGAAAGTCATTATTAGTCTAGCTTTCAGGACACTGTTCAGAGTCAGTGTGAAGTGGCTTGGTCATGACTGACATTAAAATGAAATTTGGGTAACTGAACTATTGCAAAACAGAACTACACAAGAAAAGTGTCCCATTCTCCAAAATGTCATTTCCCACTGGATTCAGCAAGATTCAGATACAACAGCAGGGACAACTCGAGAGGTGACCCTGGCTCCACATCCACGTCTGTTTCAGGGGAGAGGCTGGCCTAAATGCATGAGTATCTGAAGTGTATGTATGCACACAAATGGAGCTGCACTCCCCCCCCCCCCCCCGAACTCACTGGTACAGTACTTGCAGCCTGTTTTTAATGTTGACTTCTAGGATATTCTGAATCACGGAGTTACTGTGCGGTCGGGGGCAAAGGCAGGGTGCAAGTCAGTAAGCAGGTGAGTGACCATTAATTAGGTGCTGGCTCTGCAGGACACAATGTTCTGAGTTTGGTCTGGGGTCCCCTTCCAGCAGGCCTATGGGTTTTCCAGAATCCACAACCAAAGGTCAGACCACCAAACTTGCTGAAGCCATACGTATGAGCTGCTTCTAACTGAAATGCCCCCCCCCCCCGCAAAAGTCCAGCTGTTTTCACTTCCGTATTCTCGTGTGCATCTCTAGGCTTGATTTAACTGCCTTCCCTTCTCTGTGTGAGTGCCATCGCTGCTGATAAGGGTCCTCCTCATATTTCCATAATGCTGCTGTCACCCCAGAGAAAGGACCCCATGGAAATAGTAAACCTTTGGCATTTTATCGTGTGGGTGTGGTTCACACTGAAACAAAGTTGAAAAAAAAAAAACACAACAACAAAAAGATCTGACTTCCAAATAGAATGTTTTCCTTAGGAGGCATGAGACTGCCTTTGTGCTAACAGTGTTAAAATACTCAGTTTTATTTTGAAAAAAAGTGTGTACTCTGTAAGCCTTGCAAAAAAAAGTAATAATGAAGAAAAAGCCTGTTCGATGGCATCTGAACTTTTATAAAGGCTTCCTTGTGCCAAATAAGTACAAAGATTTAATTTACTATTTAAACCATAAACATGCTATAGTTCCAGAAAATTATTTTGTCATCCAGTGATTTTGATCTTTAGTGTCAATATTTATATTTAGATTAATTTTTATAAATGAAATATTTTGATGGTCTAAGAAAATGAGGACAAAGAGGATACTATCTCTGATGGCTTCTTGGGGTAATGCCTTCATGTCTCACACACTCGGCCAAGAATCACTGTCAAAAGAAATGACCACGACCGAGCAGTAAAAGTCACTTATGAAAATTATCTGTGTGTGTGATTTTTATTCATTCATTTCCTTATTTTGGTTAGAAGAGTCTAGGAGTCTGTGTCACTGCCTGCCTGCCTTCTAGTTTTACTACACGTGACTGTCTGACCAAGTTGGTTCTCCCTCCTTAGTTCAAACAAAGCATTTTCCCAGTGCTGGGATTAAAGGTGTGCACCTGCACATTACAATGTGCACCTGCACATCAAAGGCTGCACCTGCACTTACAGGTGTGCACCTGCACATTGGCTTTGTACTTTTCTTTCTTTCCTCCTTTTTTTTTTTTTTTTTTTTTTTTTTTTTGAGGTCTGTATGTCTGCCTGCATGCAAGAAAAGGGTGCCAGATCTCATCACAGATGACTGTGAGCCACCATGTGGTTGCTGAGAATTGAACTCAGGACCTCTAGAAGAGTAGCCAGTGTTCTTAGCCGCTAAGCCATCTCTGTGGCCCCAGACTTTTGCTTTTCTTACTTGGATGTTGGGGATCTGAACTCAGATCCTCACACTTGCACAAGTATTTTGCTGACACAACCACTTCCCTAGCCCAAGTAGACACTTTGACTAATGCAACTAGGTTGTGCTACTTGTAGCAAGGATACTGCCCAGCAACATACATTATAGCAGGGAAACTGCCAAATATAATACATTGTAGCAGGAAACTGCCCAGCAGCATACATTGTAGCAAGGAAACTGTTAAGTAGTATACCTTGTAGCAGGAAACTGCCCAGCAGCATACATTGTAGCAAGGAAACTGTTAAGTAGTATACATTGTAGCAGGAAAATGCCCAGCAGCATACATTGTAGCAAGGAAACTGTTACGCAGCATACATTGTAGCAGGGATCAATTCATACACTGTACAGGGTGACACCCACAGCAAAGACTCCTCCAGCTGTTCTTTTCTCAGTGCTGAGGATAAGAACCCTGAGTTGGTTAGACACTATGGATAGGTACTTCCCCAGTGTTTTGGGTTGGGTTTCTATTGCTGTGAAGAGACACAATGACCACAGCAACTCTTACAAAGGAAAAACATCTAATTGGATGTTGCAACTTCAGAGGTGTAGTTCATTATCATCATGTTCGACATGGTGGAGTGCAGGCAGATGTGGTGCTGGAGAAGTAGCTGACAGGCAACAGGACGTGATCTGGAACACTGGGCCTGGCATGAACATATATGAGACCTCAAAGCCCACCCTCCACAGTGTCACACTTCCTCCAACAAGGGCACACCTATTGCAATAAAGCCACACCTCCCAACAGTGCCCCTTCCTGTAACCTTATGGCACCAATTATCTTCAAACCATCATACCCACCCTTTCGCAGAGGAGGTTGCGATACCCTGGTATGCCCAGAATACCCAAGCCAGACACTGGCTCCTGCATCCACAAATGGGAATAGAAATCCTCTATTAGTCTGGAATAAACAAGTGTATGGAAATACAAAAGCCAACAGACTTGTTAATCTAAGGTCCATGGAGCACTGCTGTAATATAGCCGTTTCCTCGAGGTTGAACCTTCTTGGGAGGAGCAGAAGTCTTTGTGACTCTGAAAATATGCTAGGCTCACAAGGCTCCTCTAGGGACACGAGAATCTAAAGCTGTTGTTGGGAGAGAGGAGACCCTTCTGTGGAGCTGCCTGTAAGGGGGGCAGAGGACAGAAGATGCAGGTTTCTCAGTGGCCATCCATGATGGGGTGGCTCTTCCATGAGGCACCTGCTTTGAGTCAACCATGCTTCTATAAGTAACCCCTCACCCACTTCCCAATAAACTCAGTCACCAAGCTGGATTTGGGTGACATTGTGTCTTGGGTCTGTCATCACCTTATCTGAGAAAAAATCATGCAGTAGACACCTTCACATGTGCTTGACATCACCTGGGTGCTTGTCCAAACTGGCCCAACCCTGATGCTAATTTACATCTCAAACAGCATCCCAGTGTGGTGCTTGAAGCATTTATCTAATTATCCTTTAGCAATAAAAAAAAACAGGTGTCAGAAAAGCCACCTGTGACCTCCTCTATTGAGATCCTCTCTCAGCCCTAAACTTCTGTCTCCTATCTGTCCTCAGTCCTATGGTTAATTTTGGCCAGCTTGTGGCTAGCTCTGCCCTCTGACTCAAAGCAAACTTTATTGTCAGAATTTGATCAACATATCACACAACAGAATCCCTGGACAATGCTTGTATTGAAGCATTGATGGAGGAAGAGAAGGAAGGGGTCCAGATGACTTCAGAAGCCTCGCCTTCACCTGGGACATAACTGCTCCACTGGAAACAATGAGAGAATAGGAACGGCTTCCTGTGGGTGAGGACCATTCACCCCAGCCTCCTTTCACACAGGGAAACTGATGGCCAGAGAAGCTAGAAAACCAAGGAGCTGAGATTTCAACGATGCTTAGGCAAACAGCCCTTTTGTCCCTGAACCTGACCGCACTGCTAAGCAAAGAGACAGACTGTGTGCTGTAAGATGAAATAAACCCTTTCCCCACAAAGTTGATTTTGGTCGTGGTGTTTATCACAGCAACAAAGGCAAACTAGGACACACTGTTTCAGAATGTCAGGTTGGGACTCCCTAGCCCAATCTATCAAGTTAGAACACACACGTACACATGTACACACATACACTCACACACACATAAACACATTCACTCACACACACATACACATGTACACACATACCCACACACATACACACACACTCACACACTCCAACCTGAGATACTCCTCTCAGGAGACAGAATGGTGAACATCTGTATCACTAAGAAAAACATGCCTCTTCTTGTTTTCTGGGTTATTCGGACGCAACATATATTTTTCTCCTGAAAAAAATAAGTGCTTTATTTGCCATGACAACTGTGACCCAGAGGTCAGAGCATCTAGAAGGTTCCAGAAGTCTCTAGTCCCTAATCAAACTTTTGCTGTACTGTGGTTGGTCAGCTTACCTGTAAGGTCACATTCTAAGTGACTTCCTTATGCTGCTGGGATCTTACAGGAAATAATTCACAAGAAACACTTTAGCAGGAGCCTGGTAACCATAGCTACTAGAAACTTAGGCCAACCCCTTCCCATTTCCTCTTTGAATAAGAAAATCTATCAAGAATCAGTGTCCTGGCCTAAACAACACAAATACCCAAACTTGATTTCACAGCTCTTGGTGGGAGAGAATTCTGTTGTGCAAAGGTTTCCCCTCCAGGCCCTAACTCTAGTAGGTATGACTCTCTGCCATATTGAAGTTGGGCTTGACGAGGTGACTTGCCTTGTGATGGAAGGACAAACTTCTCCATCCCTTGTGTACGAGACTTGTTTGGGCTAATCGGAT